TTTTTCTTCTATATTACAAAATAACAACAACAATACACAGATTCTGCCTTTAATATCGATGCCCATATTTGTCTATCTCGTGCAATTTGTCGCCACAAGCTGATATATCTTTTTGAGCTCATGAAAGCTGAGGATTCTGAACTAGAATCCATCGGATCTGTCATTCGTGCGATGTAGCTCGTCTTACTCTGGAACTAGAACTGCATTCGGGAGACCGAGAGCCATTTCTGATTGTTCTTCATTTCGACTGATCTTGGCAAATGGTTTTGTCAACTGTCAGTGCTTGCCAGGCATTGTACGACACAAGTATTACGTAATACACAAAACTTAGCTCTAGCAAAAAACCATTATCGAATGTCGCTTACAGATTTGACTAGTTTCCCTGGCATAACAGCAGCACAACAGGCATTAAAGATTCGCAGGACTGATTCCATCTATATATCTATATAGTTACAAAAAGTGATTGATGAATATAAGCAATGATAACAGGTATATAATGCTATATTTTTGCTGACATCAACGTATTTAATTTTCAGAGAAACAAGCAAAACAATAATAATCTTTATTAAAACACGAGCCAACATAAGCATACAAAATCAGTGAGATCAACGAATTGGAGTAGTACTTTGGGGTCGCAAAACAGCTTTCGAGAATGCGTTGAAACGCAAACAATACTGATTAATTGTGTCGATTGGCATGACACTCTGCCCAGGTTTGAAATTTTGAAAATATGACGGGGGCAAAGATACAATACCGCCGAGTAGGCCAGAACAGAATTCCTTCATTAATTCCGTACATAAGGCAGGAATGTTACATGGGGCATATTCAACCTGAAATCAGCAAGGGTTTCGGAACGTCACTGATAAGCATGCAAATTCTTACCTCAATTAAAACTCCCTTTACACTGGTAGCCATGGTAACTACACTGACTTTGATGAAAAAGTCACCAAGCACGTATTTGTTGCCACGACATTCCATTTTAGAACCGGGTCTGACAGAGAAGGCACCCTAGAAAAAATGGTCAAAGATGCAGGCAGCTGTAGAGTCATTAGCGAACGAAAACTCACTTGAAGTTGACTGATAAGTTGAACGAACGTCAAATCGGCGGTGACGTAAGGAGAAGAGTCCGGAGCATCGCCGAGCAGTGTGAAACTCGTGTCTGGATACTCAGAACAGGTGATGACGTGCAGAGGCTTCTGGTCTGAATGGAGCACACATTGAAACATAAAGAAACCTGAGACAAATGCAAGAGCAAGTAACCATACAATGGGACAAATTTACGTTGGATAAGCTGAATTTTGCATGATGCATGAGATTCCAAGGGTAACTAAGTTCCAGGAGAAAGATTCACTCTAGCGTCGCTCCAATGAGAGGATATGGAAGGAAAAGGACTAATTAGAAACGGAAC